TTGCTACGGTACACGAGTCTCCATGCAAAATGGTGTCCGATTGTGCTTGCTTATTGTAAAATTTATTTATCATGCAATATTCATTACAATTGGGGTAGATTTTATAACTTAGTTTCACAGAAAAAATAAATATGGATTTGTATTTCATTTTTTCTGCCATACAAGCGTTTGTGTACATTGTTACTTTAAGTTTTTAATCTTAAGATTTTGCCATTTTTCAATATTCCAACATACAGAAAGATAACACAAAATAATTGAACCAGTTTTAATTGCCTGAATCGCGCAAGAGCTCGTAAATTATTCTTTATCGTATATCACCAAACACGTATTATTTTTGAATACATAACAAATTCGATTGAGGTGACATAGCAGTTGTGCTGCATGATCAGTATTATGAATCATGATACTTTTAATATTATAATTATTTTTCTGATTTAAACTACCAAAAATTTTTGAATTACCCGTCGTCAATTAGCCGGACTTAATCAACTTTCAAAAAAGAAACCTAATAAAACACGTTCGTAAATAAAACGTACAATTAGTCTGTTGACCTGTATAATAGAAATAAATTAGTGAAAATAACCTCCCATTGGTTGAAAAAACGGTAATGGTTGGAAATTGATGTAAATATTTACATTCTTTTTAAGTACATTCTTTTCTCTTCTTTACGCAATAAAATGCAACGATGTCATGCAGTCCTTAACTTTAATCGGGAAACACGTAAACTGGTACATTGCTCAACAAATACCGACTAGTGTAGTTTTTCATGGAATTCCGTGGATGTTACTGAAAAGCTTTGAACTTTCAATTTGCCGAGAAACATTTTCAAAAAACATGTCATTTGTCCACATAGTTATTTGAATTGTCGTTTTTTTTTACTTTATCTATTTTACAATCCTTAATATAAAAATTACATCTTTACACTTTTAATGAAGATGGACATAACTAATTAATTAACACTAAAATTAATTTCTGCTCATGGTTTGAGGGATTTTATGAAATTACTTTTAGTGTACTTAAATACCTAAAAAATGAAATTTGCTTCTTTGTTTTCCTAAATTGCTGCCATTAAGTCTTTTTACTTTCATCCCTAATTTGCAATCATAAATTACTTATTAGCTTTTCTTGAATTTTTTCTTTTTCTGTTCCTTCAAATGAAAGATTAAGTTTTACCCTGTATCCAACTTCATGTGCTGTAGCGTTCCTTCAACTCTTGGTTAATTTTAACTTAATACAATTATTTAAAGCCGTTTTCCTAATTTTTTACTTTTTCTTAACATGTATGCAGTATCATCCTTACTGTTTCCACGTAAAAAAATATTCTCTGCTATTCTTTTTCAATCTATCGTCCGCAACTTTGCTTTCCCTGTTTGAGTACTTCGTGCACAGCGTAGCGTATTATTATTTAGTTTTGAAGTTAACTCCATATGTAATACCCCCACGTATTTTATCCACCGTTTATTTTTATTTTCCCTCGAGTTGCCATTCCATAAAACCAACATTTCAAAATTGCCTGTATTCGATCTCTCGTATGCACGTATCTACGCATGTCTTATTTCATTTGTACGATACTTTGAATTATTTATTCAAATAAGCATCCCAAACATACACTACTTTATCAACTTGGGTTTTTATTATTCGAAGATTTGTTCCTTTTTTCAATTTATTTTTCTTTCCCAGTATATGTGTTTTTTTAGGGAGATGAGATTCTTCCATAAGGCGAGGAGAGAGAAAAGAAAAGAGAGGCTTCCAAAAGTTTCTGTGTTAAAAAAAGTTGCATTCGATGAAAAATACTACGTAAACGCAGCATAGTCAGTTTAGCATTTTTTAGATAAAAGCGCATCGAAAGTAGAAATTTTAATGGCATAGCATCAAAGTATACCAAATTTCACGAAAGGCTGCATCAAGTTTAAGATCATAATTTATAGTAGAACGTCTAGTAGAGATGATTTTGCGAAAAGTCATGGAGCCTGATCAGCCCGATGATAAGTAAAATCGCGTGCAGATGGTGCTCGCTCGTCTCACGTGCCAACATAGTTGTAATTGAATAATTTTCTTTTTGTAGGTATATACTTTTGAAGGTACCACTTTCGTTAGAATTCCATGAACTTTCGTTAGTGATGTTTTTTTCTTTACCTCTGCATTTTTCATACTCTGCGTTTTTAGCTAATATAAATCTGTATTGCTCTCAACAAAAATTATGTTGAGAGTTTAAGTTTTGTCATTAGGCAGGAAGAAAAGTAGTCAATATTATTAGGTAATCTAAGTATTGAACGCATTCCCACTTTCTTGATACCCTAATAGTCTCATTACATTCTTGACACCCTAATAGTCAAGTTTAATTGTAGTTTCTCCATTTTTACACAACCATTACATGAACTTCCTTAATTTTTATTCCTAACTTTATTACGAACACCCATTTTTTCAGATCCCTTATTGTACTCTTTAGCTGCATTATCGCAACTAGATACTTATACTACGTCTTATTGTATCTCATGAAAAATTAAGGTTTATATCCTTGATGTAAGTATATATAAACTTTAAAATGTTGTACACGCATAAATTTAAAAATATAAAATATGTAAAGTGAACTAACATGTGTATAGGTTGGATACCAGAAAATCAATTACATTTGAAATCTAGTGAAATGAGGTTCGGGACTCAGTCTTCATTTTGTTATAAGTAATGCTTGATTTTAGCAAATGTTGTTGATAAATCCCACAATTTTTCACTGAGGAAATAAATCATTTTACCTATGCTACGGGCATACGTAAAAAATGGCAAAATTGCAATCAAGTTTTTAGAAAATCAACGTTCTATATACATATTCAAGATAATCATGATAATAAAAAGCATCTGAAAAACAATTTTTGTGATTCGTCTTGTTGCTCGATTAGTCAAAAAGTGTACCTACTATTAAAATATTAACTAAAAAGAAAAAATGTGATTCGAGCACAGTGTCTTATGTGACACACCGTATTACTTTTCATAGGTAATAAAAATAAAATAATGTAATATAACATCGATAAATTGTTGAAGCCATAATATCTATGTTAGAACGAGACGGTCGCGCTTCTCCAGCGTAATCGTCGCTCACTGCACGTTAACGCGTAGTGGATCTGGAGTCATTGGGTTTCATGACCAACCACCCACACCTGCGTACGTTAAGTATACGTCCATTTCTCATTCGTTTTCATGTACGTGATCACGTAACACACAGCAGTGTACTTACATGTATGTATATCATGGTCAGTGACTCGTTTGGCTTCGAGGGAGCGCGACTGCTATAATAACCGTGCTTGCGTTTTACATAATGTAATGGGAACAAAAAATGGAGCACAAGAAGCGCACCTTCGTTTCATCTGGTAATAACAATGATGTTTACGGTGGAAAAGTATCTAGCGATGGTTGCTCCACCTATGTGGGATTGTTTACGCTTTTGTACAATTGGAAAAACAATTTTTTTTATAATACTTAATTTCATGCATTTAATTATTCGTTGTTTACCATATATTCGATGGTTTTGCAGGGACTTACGGCGCAGACGCTGAAAAAAAAATCACTGTGCTAGAACGGTAAAGTAATGGTATAATTCTACCATCTATAGGAACTTTTTACTTTAGGCTACGTAATTTACAGTAAAAATTAAGGTGCAAACAAAACAAATCTCCAAGACGACAGAATAATACACAAGCTTACCATTGAACTATAGTGACTTTGTATGATTTTTTTCCGTAGTGCATGAAAACATGCCATTTATATTCTGCAATATTTTTATAATAATTTGCATAAAGTGTTTTTTTTACTCTTATCTTTGTGTTCTTTATTTTTTATACTTTTTTTATCACTGTTTTATGCTATTTGAAAATGTTACTTAAGAAAATGTATTTTCTTTTTAGTTACTTATTCTAAATGGTGTCACTTGACAAAGTTTACCGTGGACTCTCGCTTTAAGGTAGCGATTTTTATTGTAATGATAATCTCTGAAATTTTAAAATTATGTAAATTAAGTGTGCCTAATTAATTTGCGATACAAAAATTCTAGGGTCAACCACTTAATTTTTTAGAAAATCGCTACTAAAAACTCACCAACTTAAGGAAGTTCACTCACTAAGAGAATTAACGTCAATGTATTGATAACACTTTAAATAGAGATGAATTAGTGTATGACAAACCTTTGATTCAAATTTCAATTGTCTTTATAGCTTATAAAGTGAGATATTGATAATTTTATTTTTGAACTTATAACGTGCAGTCTTTTGAAAATCAGTACTGTTCTGATACATAACCTGCAATGTCTGGATAATCGACGTCAAGATTTGATTGGAAATTTTTTTTGAAAGTAGCTAACAACTTGGTGATTACGTAGCTATAGTCTCATCTTCACTTATGGATTATGGAATGAGCAATAACTTAGTGAATAAAATAATTCTCCTTTGACAGCGACTGTTAGTACGTCACGTTATGTCTGTGTATATAGTCATGCAGGTTACATACACAGCTGATCTTATGCATCAAAAAGGTTAGGTACGAGTAAACTCCCTTAACACGCAGCCTTATGAGATCTATCACTAAAACGACTATAACTCTGAAAGTAAATAACAAAACTCTACAAATAAAAATTGTATTTGTACCTTTTTTTACAAGAAATCTTTTAGAATTGTGAAAATTACATGTAAGCCACTTAGATTTTAAGAAAATTAAAATAAAAGTGATTAATCGTTCTTTGCACATGAGTAGGTGAAATAATGAGTTTTTATTATTATAGATGTAAATATTCAGTTATCATGACAATGAACAAAGAATATTTTTCGTAATCCACAGAATCTTAAAGTGCCCCTCGCTTTATACGGCACTAAACGCCCAAGCTTCCTTATATTGTATGGATTTTTACTCTCATATTAATACTTCACCTTATCTGCTGGACATACATACTAAATTGATTTTTTACGGCAACAAATCCACGTGACAGAATCTAAATGGGTGACTTTTTTTTCCAGATCATCTCAATAAGGCCGGATTTGTTGCGGAACATCTGCAGCGTACAAAACCTGGCAACCTGGCTGCCACTGGTCAAAGACACTCTCCTGCCAATATTCCTTGCCATCTTTGACAAAATGTTCTGCCAGTACATAGCCAAAGTTTACACGAAGCAGGACCGCTCGACACGAATCGCACATTGTAAGACGATCAGTACTTATTATTTATAAAAAATACCCAACTAAGGTTTAATACTGGTTTGCAATAGAAGAGTTTTAAATTTTTAGATTTTTTCCGCTGAACTTAGGTTTAGTATGTTGTGAGAGATTTTTGAGTCATTTTAATCGAAAAGTACCAAAAAGACATAAAGTAACTTGAGATCAAAAATAATTTTGGAAAACCCTGATACCGCAATCTTATTGAATGCATGTACTGATTTATCTATTTTGAGGAAACCGTGTGGAGCTAGAACAACAGAAAAATAACATAATATTTTTTTGTGTAATAATTTCTGAGCTAATTTAAAAAAATTACATGATCACATATCATAAGTTACGTAGTCACACAATATACCAGTTTTAGTAGACAACAGCACGCGTACACCGCGCGTTTATGCGTCTGAGTTGGCCTTCCAAATTTTTTAAATTAATAAAAAAAATCCAATATAGCTATACATATGGTTCTTTGCAGAAATTTGATATGCTTAACGTTAAATTATGATTTGCACAAAAAATTTCAAGTATGGCTTTTTTGAAATAAATTATATGAACACAAAACGCTGATGTTGAAAGTTTGAATTCTTCAACGTTTTATTTCCACTAACTGACAGTTGCAGTTCCTGAATTTAGCTATATATGAGCTTATATATTTATAAAGCACATTCACATACGCTTCGATATAACATCGCCCTAAAACATCAAAAAATTTCTATTAAGTAATAGCCGCAGCTGACGATATAGTCACTATTAAACAATAAAAAATAACAATTAGAAACGGTAAAAAATTGCATCTATAAAAATGGCACCGTCTAAGCGCGCCAAAAACTCAAAACAAATGCTTGTCTTATAATTAAATTCAATAAGAAGAGGATACCTAACACTAAAATGAAAATAAAAAAAATTAATAGACTGTAAAAAAATACATTCATGGTAGTACTAATACTACATAATTTCCAAAAAAAAAAAAAAAAAAGAAAAAAAACGGTAAGTTGATTTTACAAAAACATTAAAAAATGTAATGTCAAGTAGACTATTTCAAATTTTTGTTCCGAAAAGGAATAAATTTTGTTAAAATCGATCCATGAAAATTGTTTGGAAATGTAATGCCAAGTGTAACAATTGAAGCATAGTGTTTAAAAAAAATATAATTTACTGCACCTAAACTGACATTATCTTTAAATATTTTTGGAGATCGTTTTTTATATTATAATCAGTAATTCTTTCCATTTTACACCTAAATGATATGTTTTTATAATAATTATTATACTTCTAACAATTTGTAAAGTGGTCTTTGAGACAAATGTCAAAGTTCAAAGTGTCAGAACAAACTAGATCGTTATTTTAAAAAAAGTTGATGTCTCTTAACGAAAAATCAAATTGCAATCTATGTGAAAATCCAGGTACAAAATACCCCCCACAAATAACATTAAATTTTACAATATATTACTATTATCACGGACGGATGCCAGCTTGACTGGCTGAGCCAGTACTACGTCCGTGACACAATCCATTTTTGCGAGATACAGTACCATAAGTTTAATCTTTTTAACTGCTTATATTTCTGTATTTATGTATATTTAACTGCATATACTAACTCACGGATTAAAACCTACCACTAAAATGGATGTTTTCAATAACTCAAAAACACGTTTTTTAATACCTGAGGTGATGAGAGTAATTTTGTGATCAGATTAAGATTTACTATACGAAGCTTGCATAATCGATGTTTGTCAGAGCATTTTTGAACCAACAAAAAACAAAAATAAATAAATAAAAATCGCGAGTCATCAGAGAGCCAGCAGACTCTGAGAGAAAAAGGGAATAAGTCGATCACGAAAACAATTACATATAATTCACCTTACGAAAGCGACCCTCTCTAAGTATATATTTATATATAAAACCTATGCACAGCTATGCTACAACGCATCATCGAATTTCGCAACGCGCGAGGAGCGATTCGCGTTCCGCGAAGCTGCAGCCGATCCAAGTATGCCTACACAGCTCTTCATCTTGGATCGAAAATGAAGAAAGAAAAAAAATTTAAAAAAAAAGTCGTCGGTGCGCCGTACGCCGAGCAGCGTCGGATAGAGTTCATCGAAAGGATCGCGTATAGAGAGACTTTCGTCGCTGAAATCTCGGAGCGTGTTTCGCGTTGCGCAATCGGCCGGAGTTACCGAGAAGAGAGCGTATGTAGTAATATATAATACGCCAAATGGAAAGAGAGAGGCAATCGGCAAAGATCTTTTTCTCTGCTCGCGCGCGTTCATTGTTATTGTTGTTGTTGTTGGTCGCGGGGTCGGGTTACGCGAACCGAAGACTCGTGGGTTATTGTACATTTCTGTTTTGCATTTTAAATGGATTTTTTGTCTCTTTTTCACAAACCATCCTCCCTGTGTATAAACGTTCGAACAACAAAGGCTCGTCAAAGTGGCCATTTTTGTTAAAAAAAATACCACCTACGAAACACATGTATCTTTCGACTGGTATTTACTTACATGGTATTTGTACCAATTATTTGTAGAAGAACCAAACTCACTCTTTGAGGTGAGAAAATTATGTTATTTGGTTCATTGCTTCTGACGAGTCGGTACTTATTGGGGAAAAATAATTTTGAAAGAGAAGAAAATTCAGGATGACAAAAAGATCAAAGCCATTTAAATGATTAATAATAAACTGGTTTTTTTTTACAGTGAACGGTACAATTTATTGCTGGGAAAACTTGTGTTGAATATTGTGTTGTAAGATGCTTAGAAAAAATATTTTTTGAGTATGCAATCAATGCATTTAATTTTTGGAAAAGTATTTTTTTTAAGTGGAGAATTTCTAAAATATTTTATTAAGAAAATCGTATTTTACACATCCAATTTTAAGAATACTATAGCTATACCTTTTTTGTTTTCGAGTTTTTGTTTTCAAAGTTTGAATGCTAAGTATTTTACTACTAAATCCGTTTTGCTATGGTTAAGGGGAAAAATAAAGCTTTAATTTTTTTTTTTGCATTTTCTTTAAATTCTTTGATTTCTATTGAGTAACGATGTCACTGAAACATATGAATCACAGGCTTGGGTATGGAGTTTTGAATAAAATAAAAAAATTATCCGGAACGCGTCAGATTTTCAAGATCTTTTTATTTCGTAACAATAAATCTTGTTAATATGGATGACTTATTACGAAAATGAAAAAATTTTAATAAATTCATCTCAATACATATAGTTTCAATTTGGATTCTCACAAATTACAATCTGATTTTTTGTAATTTTTTTTTGTTTGCAACAAAAAATCTCTTATTTTAATTCTAGCATTTTACTTTGTATGGTTTTGTTTATGTTTATTGAACGTTACTAGGAAAATATAGAAAATAAATGAAAAGATCCTTAGTTGCAAAATGAGAAGAAATGTGTAATATTCGAGCTCAAATGATTTTTGGATGCTGCAAAATAGACTCATAGCTCAAAATATAAAGCAAATAGTTAATTTTTTTCATGCATATTTTATGGTTTTTCATAAATTTTTGGTACGTTCCACATGATTCACATATCAGGTTTGCCGTAACTATTTGTGTTCTTAAAGTATTCAAGGAGAAAAAGTGCCATTAATACACTGATCGGCTCTTTTGTCCAGTTTCAGTTTCAGTGGAGAGAAAATTACTTTGCTCATGACTGTGTAATCAAAAGAAAAAATAGCAAACTCCTTTTTTTTTTGCAGGCCTATGTAATTATAGATGAAATAGAAAAAAGCATGTGCTGTATCGATCCCACAAAAAAAAAAAAAAAAAAAAATAATCGTCATTTCAATAAAGGTGGCGTTGACGGCAAGTTCCGGCACTTCGAGCAGGACAACGAGTACAAGTTGCAGCTAAACTTGAACCACGGCCTCAAGTTTCCGCTGTCGGAGGCAGTGAGCGGGGCAGCCGGCAACGGCAGTCTCTACGCTGGCTTGCACAACCATCCGAGCCGAGGTACTTACATATATATGCATGCACACCCATCAAGTACCCGCTAATAGGATGAATATATATTATACGTAAAGTCCAAAACCCATGTGGCTGGGGGTATACATAGAAGTTTGCCATCGTTATCTAGCGATGGTCCCATGGGCGCTATTTCTCGCCTTTCGCTTTGGCTTACTCCTTCTTCCCTCGTGGTGTCTGTTTTCCCCATGCGTATGGAACCTGGGTCTTGGAAATTCTCTGCCAGTTCTTGTTGATGCGCCGTATGATTATCATTTTCATTACTAACGCAGTACAGATCAAAGCACCACATGATGGTAATCATTGGGGAGTGTAGATCCTCCTCTTTTGACTAGTAGTGTTATTTTCACCTCCACGGAAGTCCACGTTCGATGATCAAAGCACTGTGGAGCTCGTTTTCTCGCTCTCTGTTTTTTTTCTTTCTTTTTCGTAGCTAATTCAAGAGAGATGTTTGCTCTCTGCTTACGTTTGATTATGGGAACATCTCGAGGGTTCATTTAGTGGGCGATGCTAGCTACGCGATCGCGCTTGTGCTATTTTCGACTTTTGCGGCGGATGGTGACGGCGCTTGGTGGGACTATCGATGATTTTTTACGAAATGTCGTTTTCTTCATTCGTCTGTAGAAAGACTGTCGAAAATTTCTTGAGAACGGCACTTCTCAAAATATCGCTGTACGCAACCTATGTACGGGGCTCTCAGGTGAGAGTAACGGCAAACATTTTCAACACACCCAGCACTGTAAAATCCCAGTGTTTTATTTTTTTGTCACAGTTTTTAAAGTCTTGGAGGCGTGTCGAACGACAGACTCTCAAAAGGTTTGAAATTAAACTCTTGTGAGTTTTTAAACAAAATATTTGAAGCTACTCCTAACTCCAAATGCCATAATTTTATATCATCTAGCGCTCGCGCGTACTTGAATCAAGTCACTGATGAACCTTCGCGGATTGAATGATTAATATTACTACGGTTTCTTGATGCATACACAAACATACACATACACATTTAAATAGAAGTTTTTCTTCTTAAGCCCTTAACCTTAAACTTTTCAAGTATTTATTCTTTTAGTTCGAAATACATTTAACACAATATGTGTATATAATTAAATCTTTGAAGTGATTAATTTTAAAATGAAATTCCAACACATTAAATTTCTAAACGGTTTAAGCGCTTAAAGATACTTCATGCGTTTTTTTAAAAATCTTAATATTTACTTTTAAAGTCTAATAAATCGTGTTGACGAGGATTCCATTCGTAATCCATAACTATTCCAAAAACCGATGCCAATGAATTAGTACAAAGCTTCATCAAGACATTGTAGTCTACCGCTTTTTGTTTCAAATAATATTTGATATTTTAGTTACATACTTGTCTAGATTCTAATTCAATGTACAATGATAAGATTTTTATTCTAGGAGAAAATCATTAGTTGGTAAAAATTGTGTATTAACAAAGTTTTTTTCGATAATCAAAGAATAAATGAACAACCAATTTCAAGTTGTAGTTGACTAATATCCATCCTTTGGTTTTCAGTTAAAGTTATGTTTTTTTAGAGCTACTCTTAGTTGAATCTTTTGTTATTTTAAATTTAAATGAGAGTCCAAGGTGTTTGAGATACTGGGATTCGAAAACAAATATAACTGATTGCATACACCGATAAAATTTTTTGAAAATTCACGTATTTTAATCTTTCTGACATATTTTTGAGAAATTAAAATTCTTTACTGGAACAATATTTCCAGTACGAGGAAGTAAATTTGCTCTTTGGTATGAGATTGCTTATAGTTTGCTATATATATCTACCGAACGCTGGTTTTTAACTGTCTCTTTTGTCATATAAACGTATATATAAGATGCAAGTTAAACACTTAATTCGGTACCCACATAATTTATGTGTTCGTACATAAAAATAGTAGCCCTTTTTATATACACAATTGGCTGATGATGATAAAATACGAGACACTCTCATTTGATTTCGGAAGTTTCAAATTCTAATTTTTTACGAATTAACTGAACACGCAACGAAGTCCGATCTTGAGTTACAAACAACGTATCCTTACCGATCGGACAACCTCGTTCCGTTATCGATCTATACCTTTTCGCGGTATCGGTAAGTCCGAACGAAAGCTGAATTTTGTCATCATCACGCGACGCGAGATAAATATTTTTGTCCCCCCCCCCCCCAAAGGTGCAAGAAAGACACGTAGTTTGTGTCAAACCTCCATTGAAAAGCGACAAAGTAGCTCTGCAGTGATAAAAACTTTTTCCTTTCCTCTCGCAACGACCAAGTCGGTCGAAACGGCACGATGCTGCTCGGAAGCCAGACCCACCTGCACTACGGCAACAACAGCCGATCCAACGCGTCAAGTGGGGACAACACGTACGCCTCGATAGCCAACACGCCCGAGAGCTCGTCGACGTACGTGGGCTCGAGCTACGAGAATCGCCGTCGCCACCACCATCAGCTACTCGAGTCCATCACCAACAAATCACCCAAGCAACAGCACATGGCGCATCAGCAGGCGCGCAATCTCGGCCGTGCCAACAGCACGAGCAATGGCAAGTGCAACGGGGCTTACGCTTCGTCATCTTCCGTGGCTGAGAGACAGCAGCATCAGCAGCAGGGGTTTGCTTCGAGGAGGAACGACGTCGACGTCTTCGGGCAGAATACCAAGCTCGTGGAGAGCTTGATGCAGTTTGACGAGCAGTGTGGGGTAGGTGCCGAGATGTTTTTTAGGGGAGAAGGTTAAACTATAATTTATCATAATTTTTGTGTGTGGGTCACTACACGAAAACTGAGATGTTTAAAAGCGATGGATCGAATTATTTCGAGTCAGAACTTTTTTAAACGGTGTATAAACCAATTTTTCCTAAATACATTTTTGAGATCGAATTGAACAAATTTTTTTGCGTGGCCGTAAGGTTGAAAAAACAGGCCAAAATGTCATTACCATAACGTGAAGCATTTAAAAATTAAGTACATTTTTCACGGCTTCTGATGTCTAGACTTCGGTTTTTTTATTTTTTTTTACTATGTACTATCTTAAAGTTCGAGGTGTTGAGCATCTTTGTCAGGAACGTTTTGTTTGTAAAGCCTACTTTTGACACTTTTGAATCGCCCACCGCATATGATTTAATTTTTCCAAGCAACTGATTTTTAGACATTTGGAATTAATTATTTTGTATTTCAGAATTTACGGGAATGCTGTCGATTTTTTTGCAGCCCCAAATTTTTATGTGGCTATTTGTAGTGTCGTTACAAATACAGAACGTTTTTTCCGGAAAAATAAAAGGTCATAACTGTAACACCCCTAATCTTAGAGGTATTTGAAACCATCGACTACATGACTATAGTATACAGAAGGGTCTGGTAGGGTGCAGATGTGTCAAACGAAATTTCGTTAAAAAATCCCATCTTGGGGCTTCAAAATCGTAAAAAAGTAACGCTCTTTTAAAAATTAAAAAAAAATTGCATTTTAATTAACACAGGTTTTCAAAAAATGATCGTAGAGTCAGGCCAAAAAGTTTTCTACCAGTTTAGACCTCACATAACTCGGAAAAAGTAATGAACAAATTCTAAACAATGGATTAAAAAAATTCCCATAAAAGCATGAAAATATCGCAGTTTTTGTGAAATGATCCATTTGTTTACGACTAACGTAAAAATTCACTGGTCCTGTGAGGGCAGGAAGAAATAGCCCTAAAAATCCCTGTTGCTACGTTCCTGCTTTAAAGGACAGAGTTTTAAATTTGGCGTCGTTTACCGTGATGTTTTGTTTTCAAACTGGACGTCAGTAAAAATATTCAAATCGCTAATATCTCAAGAACGCAGATACGTAGAAAAAAAGCGACTTGCATTAATCAAATTAGTCCAAGAAATCGGTTTTAATTTGATGTTGACGAGCGTAAATTAAAAAAATAAAATAAAATGCAGTCATGCACAGCACGTGCCATGGCCAGTGCTACTATATATTTTTCACTCTGAACCTTTCACGCATGTATTTCTCGAAATTTCGCGCTATTTAAAGTCAAACAACACAAGCCATTTCTAGGGTTTAAGCACATTTGTTGTTACTCAGTTCCGATATTGTTCACAAACTTTACGCCTCGACTCGAAGGATTAGTCTACTTCAAAAACCCAACCAAAACCAACGGTCTACACATTAACTTAAAAAACACCTTGTCTCACAGTACGGTGCCCGTCGCCTCAAGCACTTTGCGAAGAGTTTGGACGAGATCCGGGAGGAGGCGCCGCGCCGAAACTCCCGCAGCGTCCTTGGCAACCGCGAGGCCGAGCGCATGTACCCGGGTCACCTTCGACCGTACCTGCACCAGCAACAGCAAGCCGAAAGGGCGAGGAGCCACATGGCCGCGCTTCGGAGGAACCAGAGCTTCGATCTGCACCTGCGCTACCCGAGGATCGAACTGCCGCAGGTCAACTCCTCCAGGACCTACGATGTCAAGCGGGAGCTCGCGGTCAAGCGCGGCCTGCAGATGATCGAGCAGACGAGGGGGAACGAGCGCGGTAGGTGCTTTTTTTTCCTCGTCGAGTAAGTCCTGGTGTGATTTTGAGACAAGGGACCCTTTTGAAAAATAATCACCACACGAAGCACATCGCGATCGATTTCTGTTGAGCGTCGTTCTTATGCTCCTCTCAAGGCTAGTTTTTGCCGAAAATGTAAAAAAGAAAAAAAAGATTTACGCTCCATACATGCTGCCGTCTAATTTTGCTAATCATCTCATGAACAGCGCATAAATAAACACGATATTCTAAGTGCCATTAGCTATAATGAGCGTACACGAAGTCTAACAGATTTTCTGCGGAAATCCTGTGGAAAAAAAGGAATAGAGAGCTAGTGGCAACACAATAGCGCATTTCACTGCCGCCACACACGTTGGCTGCTCATTTCAAAGGGTCAAGTGCGCTTGTGGTGAAAAAAAAAAAAAAAAAAACACCACCGAAAGAGAGAATGGGAGGCACAATACAACAGCAGCTACAACCTCCGGTTTCCCATATTATCTCAGCCATGTATCGAGCGAATTAGCAGGACTGCTGCCGCTGTGCTGTTCGCACGCACCGCTGCGCAACGCAGCAGCAGTCGTCGCGTCCTCGACCTATGCGCGTGTTTTTGTCGATATTTTGTCGGGAAATTATTTTTTTTTCTTTTTTTTTAAACGTTCATACTTGACTACAGGCTGTTAGCTGTTGAAGCTGGTTACTGATGGATTCCTTGTTTTGTATATTTTTACATTTTGATGAAATTATAGCATGAAATGTTTTTACATGCAGTTATGATGATAAAGAGAAAAACTCAAGTGTACCCATCAATTGCCTCCCTGGTATGATACAATTAGCTTCGGATCCATTGAAATTTTGGATTATAAATAGTAGCACGAAAAAATTTTTATCGCTAGTTTTTTGTACTTGTATAAAATTGTACTATACTTTCAAACACCTACAAAGTTCAGCAAAGGCTCCCGAAAAAATGGTGAATAGTAAAAGTGGCCAAAACAGATTTCTCATGCCTAAAAGAAAAACTAAAAATCGTACAACAAAAAAAGTAAAAAATATTGCGCAATTCCAAGACGAATAGGATGAGCCACGTTAAGCTCGAAACGTAAAAAAAAACTAACTTTTCCGATCAAAAAAGCTATTTCTATCACACTACCCACACACTGCATTCAGTAGAAAAGACTGTACTTGTTTAGACACGTCTCACCAGTCTCACTAAAAGTATCCTCTTATGTATATACCATATTATCATTTAAGACTATCCGTTTCTTTGTCAAATTCATAGGTACCTACGTTTCATTTTACTCTATTTTGCAATGACATGGATTTTGTAAAAAAAAGAGATGTAACTTATGAAAACGGTTTATTTTAGATTACGAAGAGGAGGACGAGGCTGGGTACGAAACGTCGGACGACGAGAGTTGCGACCGGGAGAGCCAGGACTTTGACACTATGAGTTCCTGTCGGAGCCGGGCGCGCAGCTGCTGTTCCGTTACTACAGTGGCCAACGATGACTTCGAGTATTTCCAACGCAAGGGAACAAAGGTGCATACTTACTCAATTTATTTTGTATTATTTTCATTTGTGTCTGTTATACGGTATTATTTAGTTGTATTGATTTCACATATTTTTGTCAATAGGCTCGAATATTCAATTTTTGAGTTAATGAAACCAAATTTTTTATGTATGCTCTTTAAACGTATGGTTATGTTAATTTGGAAAACCTTTGGGTTCATAAAGTTCATAACATTCTTCCGTATCTCCATCAATGGTAGAAATTTTCTTCACTGTTTTAGTGTGCCATACTCCTTCTCATGGAAAAAATTGTTACACTAAATCGTTTTAAGATAAATTTGCTGGTGCTAACACAAGCCTTACGAATAAAATGTCCTTTTTACTTTCTTAAATTCCTGAGGAAATATAATATCTAATACTTTTGAGCCCAGCTTATCTATTAGAAAAACTCTGCCAAACATTTCGACTGTTCAGACCAAAGTTTTCAAACAAGGGTTAAACAATTTAGACAATTTCTTAAATATAAGAAACACTTATGTATGGTTCAATTTGAACCAAAAAACAAAATTAATCATACCGATAACAATATTCAGTAAATCAAAAGAAATGAAGACGACGGGTTATTTTAACTTTACATAGTCTTACTGTTATCTTTGTAATTTAAAATATTTATCACAATATCAAATATTTTTTCACAAATAATAATTAAATATTTTATTGAAATCATATAGTTAAGGTCGTTTGGGCGATTTTTATTCGCTTGATCAAAACCTCTGCGATTCTGGAACTATGTAAATAAAGTATGCCAAATTGATTTACAATAAGAAAATACTGGGGTCATCGGCTTAATTTTTTCGCAAATCGCTACTGAAAATTCACCAATGTAGCCCCTACTCTTATGGAGAGTGGTCACAAAATCAACTATCTCTTTGGAAATCTTTGATGAACCTTAAAAATTAAAAATAGTTCTTGTGTGTTTTTTTACAAAGAATCTATTAAATTCTTAAAAATATAGGGTCAACGACTTAACTTAAGAGAAAATCAAAAGAAAAGTATAAAATATTCATCTGGCTTGCCTCGCAACATCTCCCTATTTTCACAATCATAATTTTACGGTACTTTTCCGGCAATTTCTTGATCTTGAACTTTGGTTTTATCAAAATAACTATATTTATTGAAAAATTTACCGTGGAAAAGCGTTCATTTTTTAGGAGCCCTTATGGTACCCTGTGGTACCCTACCCTAGGTATGGTGCGAACCGCTCAAGCCACCTTAAAGCGATTTTACTTTAAAATTCTCTAGTCTATAAATGTACAATATTTTGTAAAAGTAAATTTTTGTGAATTCTTGCTGTAAATTTGAAGTGTTCTGACATAGCCCAAATTTATAATCAGAAGTGAAATTCCATCCATTTAAAATATAAATTTGTTAAGTATAGGGTGACCAATTAACGGTTACAACTATTTGAAAAAGAACAAGATGTGGGGAAAAAGAACAGGGTGTTTAAATGGGTCATAGGACCCACGGTAAGAACGAAGCTCGTGCATAAATACAGTACTCACGAAGTTCAACCATCGTGAGTACTGAACTTTTTTTTTTTTTTTTTTATTCGTTTTTAAAGTTTTTATTTTACTGAACTACATAAATGCAGTACTTATTCTCATAGAGCTTTGTTCTTCCTATAGGTCTCACGACCCCCATTGTTACCTGAGAAATTCTGTTTCTTTATTTTATGATGTTTTTTGACACACATCTGATGTTTAATTACTTTTTGGCATTCATTTCATGTTTAAAGAACTTCGTTCTTACCGTGGGTCCCATGACCCATTTATACCCCCTGGTTTGTTTCTTTTCATTTTTTTCGAATTTCCTTTACTTAATTTCTTTTTGTATTATTTATTTAACCTTTTTTTTCATTTCTTTTTTTATTTTATTTTATTTTTTCATTCCATTGTATTTTTTCATGTGTTTTTATCTTTATTTCTTGTTGTTTTTTTAATGCAGTTCATTTTATTAAATTTTTCAAATTCTATTTCCTGTATTTTTATTTCATGACCCATTTATACCCCCTGGTTTGTTTCT